TTTCCTACTAAGAGCAACTTTATAAAAGTGAGAAACAGAAAAGCTTTTACTAATAATTCATCTCTTCGTTTAAAGATTATGAAACAGACTCGGTGCAGACAGAAGAAGGAACAAGACAAACCAAGCACTAAAGGGAAGAACAGGACTGGGATGGAGCCAAATAATTTTGGTGAAGGTAACATCGTTGCAGGGCACAAAAGCACTATGTTGAGATAAGGCTGTGGAGGATCTTCCAGCAATAATCAGTCTCTCATTCCCGAAAACTCTTAAATCCCTATTGCAGAGGCTCTTAATTTCAACATTAAATTAATCATTTATCTAATCTAATGATGGGAGAAATCCCAGAGCAATTTTGTTTAAAAATTGTGATGTCTTTACCCTTTTCCTTGGGCTTTACAACTGTCCATATAATGACTATTTCAGAGCTTGACTCCTGGGCACAGTCCTTTGTTGAAATACCCAAGGTCTCATGGTAGATTTCAAGATTAACAAACTCAAGTATCACCACAGAACCATTTTATAAACTTTCCAGATGTACATAAACAAAAACTTAGTTTCTCCAGGCCCCAGTTAGTGTTGCCATTATAATTAAGGGGCCATCAACCTCAAAAACTTGTGCAATTCAATAAAATCTTCATTTCCATGAGTACTGAAAGCAAGCCATAAATTCCCTGCTCCCACCAGATGATCCATCTATGGACTTTCTTCCCCTACCCTCACTGAGTCTGTGTGGTTTTTCTACCCCACAGTTCAGCCCAGGAGGATACTTACTACTTACCGGTTTCTCTAACGTAATCACCTTAAAGACTCATGTCCATTAAGTTTAAAGATCTTAGGACCATCAAATGAAACTCTTAGATAGTAAGTCCCATATGGAGTAAATCTCTTTGGCAGTTTCTCCATTGGAAAGCTGCCTTGGATTCCAGGCTGATCCCCATCAGGATAAGACACCGACTTTATGCACTCCCTGATAACAGCACAAAGGATATGCAGCCCTCTCAGCACAACATGCAAACACAGTCATCAGTAAGCAGCTTCAGAAACAGTTCTGCAAACTATAAGGAGATCTCAGAGGGAAACTCAGCTTCAGAACAATTTTATCTTTTAACAGCTTCCTAATCCCCTCACCCCTTTCCTGCAGCTTTACCTTTCAGAGACACACCCCCACCCAGGCCAATTCTTGCATCCAAAATTAATAACTACAAAAATAATAAAAAAATAATAATAAAAAACCCCAAACGTGATAAGACAACCTTCACAAAGGAAAAGAAATAATTTATTTTTTTTACAGAAAACAGCGTTTTGGGGATAAATCTGGAGTGCTGCACTAAGCCATAACCTCTTTACTGATGTTTTTTCCTTCCCCTTAACAGATTCAGGGACTGTAATAACATTTAATCCTCAGAAGCTAATCTAAATGTAACACTCAAAAGAAGACAAAGACAACGCAACAGAAAAAAAATTTGGCCACTGCCTTTTGGGAGTGCTGCTTTATCCCTGGAGCGAGCGCATTAATAGAGCTTGGAATGAAATGCCATTTTATTCTCTGTAGCAGGGAGGGGATTAGCAAGTTGTCTTCTCTAAACCCAGTCTGAGTCATGGCTCTATGAACACTGAGAAAAGGATGTGGAACGAAGGGAAGAGCGGGGAGCACTGGCTTTTTATTTACACGTTGTTTCCTTTGTGGGTGGTTACTGATGTGCACAGTTTGCTAAACAGGGAAAGAAGAGGGGAAAAAAGTTCTAAGTCCCCTGACTTTTAATTCTGTTGGTTAACAAAAGAGAAAAATAATAATGCACCAATTATAACGACATCATTGAGACAACACGTCCGTGGCAACTGTCCAATTCATCACAGCATGTAAGCAACAAGGGCAAGTTGCTTAAGGTGCTGAAAGCTGTGCTCAGTGGTATCTTGTTGCTAGGATCTTCTTCAGGAAAGGAAAAAAAAAAAACAGGTTGGGCAGAGCCCAGAACAAAGGAGAAGGAGACACTGTGGTAGGAGAAATGTGGAGACAGGAGTAGCCTGGGTTCAGGTGAAGAGATGAGGAACAAAGTCCATTGCACAAGTCAGGCCACGCAGGCATCAAGCCTTGAAGTGGAAACCAAGAGCTAATGACTGTGTCAGGGATTTAACATGAGGCTCAGCACTAAGTACTTCACTTCTGTTTCTGTAGAAAGGGCGATAGGAAGGTTTACTTGCCTACCTCATAGGCATGCTGTGAAGGGTCACTGGTGGAAAGCTTGTACAATATTCCTAAATCCTACAATGCTTGAGAAACACTAAGGAGAGGAAATAGTCCTTGGGACACATGACCACTTGTGCAGAGTTGTAAGTGTTGATAAAAGAATCACAAAAGTCACTAAATGCCAAGAAAACACCGGGGGTTTGTTTCAGATGTTTCTTTCTTTGCTTCAACATGGACTATGAAAAACAGGGCACTCTCTGTGGAAATAGCCCCAGCCCTATTTCACTCTTCTTTCATCAGCTCCACTGATACACAATAGCAGAAGAGAACAAATACAGGGTAGATTGGTCTCACAAGGCACAGACACCAGGTCTTCACAGTGGAACAGGGATAATACAAGATAGGGAAGAGACACTGTGTGAAGGAGATGAACTCTCCTCTGCAGATGGAGAAAGTGCCACTCCTAGTTTCCTTTCCTTAAGAAGCTGTTGTAGTCCAGCACTAGAAGCAGGCAGACCTGTACTTCATTCATACTTTGGCTGTATTCCCATTCCTGTAATTTTGCTGGAGTGTCAGTTTATTCCTGCCAACCAAAATACTAGATCTGCATAAATCAGTCTAACCTATCTTAACACCTACTGTGCTTGCATGTCTACTACAAAAGCACAAAACAGGATGAGCAAAACTTCCACTGAAGACACAGGATCTTGTCATTTATTACCATAAACAGGCTGCAGAAAGACTTGAATGTACAGTGCCAAACAAGAGAACCTCACAACACACAGACGGCAAGTCCTACCAGCTGAGCACGGACAGCAGTGTAGGAAGGAAGCTTCCCTGACCCTGTTCCTTATCATGACCCACATGTGAGGCACACATGCTCTTTAAGAGTGTTTGTACAGCGTGTTGCACATCAAGGCAACGATCCTGAGAAGGGTTACTGCATGCTGCTCTGAGAAACACATACACCACAGGCTGATGGGGTCAAGCAATGATTCTTCCTGTATGTACAGTTATCAAAGGACATTATCAATCCCAGATTGTGCACTCCAATGCCCAGCTCAGTGCAATCCTGGGTACTGCTGGCAACTTCTGCTGTAAAGAAATAGAATGTATGATGTTCACCTTCACCCTCAGTTTCACTACTGCCACACAGTTTGTCCCTTCAAGACACCCCAGCCACATTTTCTTTTCACAACAAATTCACATTAGGGCAGGTGTCTCTTTTTGCTGCAAAGAAGACAGCCCAAGGAATCTGTCCCTTTCTGATGGATCAAGCTCATACTGCCATCAAATAGAAGAGCATTGTACAGTAAGGCCAGAAGCCAGGGACTGCCAAGTGATAAAGGTTCAAAGAAAAGGGGTAGAAACCCCTAAGAGACCATAAACACATTCTCTGAATCTCAAAAGAATTCATTAGCATTTGTGCTGGTGTGAGCCACTAACCCTTATGAGAAATGGTTGCATTCCTGAGTTTCTTACATTACCAGTCTTCATCTCCACAAAAAACGAAAAGGCCAAATGAAACCAAAACATCATGAACCCAACTTAGGACTACTATAAAAAACAGGTTAGTTACAGTCTGTAATAGTAAGTAAAGAACATAGTCCCAGGTCTCAATTGCTTCCTTTACCAAGTCACAAAAATAAATCCCCACTATACATAGTTCCAACAATTGATGACACATCTGCAGAAGCAAGTCCAAGAAAAGACTGAACTGATCAAAGACTGTCAGAACTTTTTGTGCTATGAATTTTCTAAATTTTATTTAAAAGAAGAATTTAGAATTCTACTATGGAAAACAGCATGGAAATGCAGGCAATGTGTTAGCTGCCTTGTTTTGGCTTCTTTAGCAACTTATTGCTTGACTGTCCAAACAAAAATGTGAAATTACAACAGGTTATGTGATGCTTTGGCAGCCAAACATAATTTTAAATAAAGACAGCACAATATAGTGCACATCCCACTAACATATTCATCACTACTATATTATCTATTTATGCAATTAAGTATTGTACAGTCTGGATTGGACCCAACCGGACTACATATGCTGCTGCTCCAGTTTACTGCATGTTGGCCAACTGTTTACCCAACTGAGATCTGAGTGCTGCTCTTCACAGTGTAATTGCTTTAGTCTCATTAATATTAAAGAATTATAGAAAATATTTTTTCTTCGACAGCTGTTATATAGCTTATTGTTCCACATGCACTGACAGTACTGGTAAATACAAAAACTGAATTTAACACTAAATATGACAAAAAGACAACATTAAAGGTCCACTAATTGTGCCAAGGCCAATAGAAAAGGCCAGAAAAATCACTGCACACATTCTGAGAAAGGATTAATAATGACTACAACTCCAGTTTGATTGAAACTTCCAGGGCTAAGATTTAGACTGTTTACCTTTTTCTTCCCTGGACACTGAAAGCTTTCAAAGTGGTGCCATTCTTCCTACTCCCATGCACCTGCCCAGTGCTGCAATGTGTATGTTAAATCCACCAGGTCAAAGTTTAAACAGATTAGACATGTTCCACTGCTATTTTGAAAACCCTACTGAATATTCCTATTTAATATTAATTTTCAAAGCCCATTTCTTCCCCTTAATTCTTCCTTGCAAGATCTAATAACTTCATAGTAAACTCTGTCAAGCTTGGCACAGAAAGAGAAGATGGTAGCTTATGCTTCCTCAGCCCTCTCAATACGTGACACGAGGTAACTTCACTCTCCATTTATGGGAATATCCAGAGGCTACACACAAAGCATTATGAAATGCAACTGGAACTGCTGAAAAGAACAAAAATGGCTCCTCACTTTATCCACTCCTCTGCCTTGGCGGCTGCCTCCTGGTACTGCTCGGATGTCAGCTTGTAGATCTCTGCATTCTGAAACAAAGAATAGAATGCTCAGCTCTAAAAATTAAAGGCATCTCAGATCTTATCCCGTCACAAAGTTATCTTCTATAATTAATAATGATTTCCAACAACAAACAGCATATTCAGTTCAAAGAACACAAAAAAAAATGCTTAAGAGTCGATTTTATTTTCAGCAAAATGCATCACGGCCACAACACATCCATTCCAAGCTTCAGCTTTCTGAAAGGAAAGAGAGGGAAAAGGTCGCAAACAATCAACGAGCAGCTCTGGTTATTCCATGCAACCACAAAAAAACCAAGGTGTTTCCAGCACCCAGTTATTTTGTGTTTGTTCTCTTCTTTCATTAATTACTGTGAAGGATCTTGTAAGTTACTGACATGCAAGTATCAAAATTGGCTGCTAGCGCTGGAAAATCCATTTTACATTTCAGTGCTTCTACTTACATTACTTATTCTTTAAAAGAAAATTATGCAGCCTGTTTCCCTTTTAACAACACAGGGAGGCATATCAGGTATCAGTTAAGGTGCTGCCAAACAGAGTCTTGAGTGTCTTGCTGCAGGGCTTAAGAGGTTTGCATTAAATTCTCCTGAACTTGCACAGAAAGAATTTTAGCTCACAACTCCTTGCTCGCTGAATGTGGAGGATGAATTCCTCCTCTTGGCTGCACTTAGGAGCTTCCCAAGCACGAACAGCAGGAGGGAATGGCTGCACACCCCCAGTGACTGCACTACAAGGTCTTGTGTCACTAAACCACTGGGAGAGCTGCTTTAAGCAAAGCCTCTGGACTCCGTAGGCAATTGCCTCACTCAAAGTTCACCCGCAAGGCTCTCAGTCTGAAAAGGCACGAGCAGAAAATACGCAATAATCAATCAAAAAACCTGACAAAATGGTATTGAAAGCGAGGACAGCTATTCATTTAGGGCCGGTTCTAGCTGCTACCTCGTCTCTCCCCAAATTTGGTCATTTTATATAGAATACTATTCTTGCCCTCCTTCATTTATTTTCCCGTAAATGCAGCTGTGGTCCCGCGCATGAATGAGACACATACTGTTCAGTGGCTGGAAAAAGGAAAGGACAGATATAACTCAAGTTCTATTAGTGGTTCTGCCACTTGTGCAATCTTGGGCAAGTCACCATTTTCCATCTGCAAGTGAGGGATAACAGCTGCCTGTATCTCTGAAGTTGTGTGAAGCTCAGCTAATTGGAAGGTTTATACAGGTTTTCAGAGCTTGGGCTTCAAGGTGCTATATTTAAGCTCTTTATCTCTGGCGCCTGAATTTATGTCACATACCAAAAAAAACCACAGAACAGATTTTGCTTTTCCAAACTTTGACCTAGGAGACAAATTTAAACTGAGAAATCATGGGCGACTAACCACTTCAAAATGCATTTTGCCTGTAAATTATCATTAATGTTTTTGTTTACTTGTTACATAATGGTCAAACTTCTACGCTATTAAATCCATTTTTCTCTTTCCTATATTGAAAAGTTCAGCTTTTAATGGTGCCTTTTTCTCTGGCCTGTAAACAGACCTCATGACTTTCAGCTCCCTGCTGTTACTTATTCACACATGAAACCACAAGACCTGTGCTTCATTAATTAAATTTGCCATTAAAAATTAAATAATGTGAATAAGTAGATGTAAGCGTTATCTCCACTGGGCTTCATAGGTCTCACCGTTTCTCCAATTACTACCCAAGCAATTTTCATATTTCATACTGTCTGATTTCTCAAAGGGACTGGATCTGAAAGATCAAAATGAGAGAAACTAGGAAAAAGAGAAAGCAAGGTAGCAAAATTAAACATTTTTCAGGCAATAGGAAGTAGCCCCGTCAGATACTATTAGCCTGCAGCACTCTGCAGTGAAACAGCAGCAGGAGAGGAAAACAGGAACAAATATGTTGTACGTGAGACCCAGCATGAGGTTGTGTTTAACCCACCTAAAGAAAGGAAAAATAGCCAACAGAATCATTTGTTGGTTGTACTGTCGATTAAAGCGGTTGTGGCACAACCTTGCCTAGTTTATTAGAGAGAGTTCAACTGCCCAGCACTGCAGTCAGGCTCATCTTCAACAACATCAGCTACAAACACAGACAGAAATAGCCAGGAAACAAACCCGTGGTTTAGTTCTGGATCCTAACGCTGCTAAAAGCAGGAAAGTGAGAGTCTGAATGGAGAGGCAAGAATCTCGGTAAGGGGAAGGAGGAAAGACCTGGCTTCAAAGCAATCACAAGGCACATGGCATCATGCAAAGATTGAGGAGGGGCACAGAAAATCTTCAACCTGCAGATAAAGCTGCTGTGTTTAAAAAATGAAAAGGAAATATCTTTGCATGTGCTTCAACTGGGCCTTTTGCCTTTGGATTAGACCTCTCTGCCACCTTCTTTCCCTCCCTCCTCATCAAAAACACTAAAAACCAATGAAACAGTATTTCCAATGCTATGAATCAGCATCTTTAAATTCTTCCCCAAGTAATAAAAACAAGGGGTTACCATTTAAATCTGAGTTTGTTCAACAAGCAGACTATAATTAAACAGGTTTTCCTCAGTCTTTAGGTCCTTTCCTACCCTTAGGAAAGCCGACTGCCTTTTGTCCTAAACACTAAATGAGCAACAAATGGGCTAACTGGGCAAGAGAAGGGGCTTTCAGCATGGGCACAGTCACAGCGGGTTCTCTGATTTGGGGTTACTACTTACAGAGGATAATTTTCCAAGTATCCTCATCTATACGACTTCAAAGGCAAGATCTGCTTCATTTTCACAATTTTAACTAAAATACTATGGCAGGAGATAAGGTTCCAGTGACCTACAACAATCTAGGCCTTTATAATAAGGTTGCAAACGAGAAACCAAGCCAGGAACCACCTGAGCACTTCCCTGAACTTCAGCAGAGCCACCTCCATACAAGGGCTATTCAGCAGGATCAAGGTGTGGTATTTGCACTTGAAACAAAGTCTGAGCTGTCCGTAGTCTTAGTGAAGTCCTTTATCTTCATAAAACGATATTCAGTGGCACAGTAAAAGAGAGAACATTCCACACAAAATTACAAGACATCAATGCTGCTTTTAATTTACTTTCACAATATTTGATGCTTGAGATAAAATGGCAGCTCACAAAGAAAAAGTTGAACATGAGACCTCAACTATTATTAAATAAAGCTCCTGGCAGTCTTAGTTGCAGAAATAAGTTTAAAAACATGACCAAAGGACACCATAAGGGCTCAAATAACAAAAGACACAGAAAGAATGAATGAACCACCTAAAATGTTTCACTTCTCTCAATAAAGCTGAGCCTTAGGGGAGTCAACTTCACAACATCAGAGCTTTGTCATATGGGGAGAGAGCTCTCCAGAGAGGACAAACAAACTAAACAAAGAAATGTTAGTTTGAAAGATTTTTCCCTGCTATTAAATGATGGTTCGTAGCAAATAATAAAAACACCAAGAAGTTATAAAAATACATAACTAGAGCCTAAAGTGCAACAGAACCATTTTTCTTTACCCTACTGCTTTTCTACAACAGATTTGCTGCTATACCCTTGTTCCCCACTCTTCCCAAAACACCCTTGTGCTAAAAATTCCCCTTCAAAAGGGAATCAGTTTTAAAACTCAGAGCTAAATTTGGAGTAATTTTAATTCAGCATTCCTCCTTGGCTGCAAACACGCAGAGAAACCTCAACACTCACTACTACACCCTCGCTACACTGCCCAGGCCCTTTCCAGAACATATAGCAAAGAAAGTAAGAAAACAATATAGCAGAAGACTGAGTTCTCAGGGTTATTTCAGGAGGGAAAGTAATTGAAGCATAAAGAAAAAACCCTGCCAGCTTATTCTCACACTGACATTAAACCACATTCCTTACAACTTCAGTAAAACATGAGCTACTTGCAGTAACATGTAAAGCAGAAAACCAAGAAACACAAGCATGAGGAACTAGAAAATAATCAGATTTTAGATGAAATTCTTTGTGAACATCAAGCAGCAGCATTAAAAACTTGACACGGGGACAAAGATTTCTCCATCAGGTTCAGTCTGGGTCAATAGATCAGAAGGCGTCTGGATTAAAAAACAACAAAACTCAACTACCATCACCCCAGCTATCTTGAGATATTTTGACACCTCAGAGTACAGAAGCTTGTCAGTGGTCACAGTGTTTAAAGATACAAAGAGGATTAACAGCTGTTGAAATGCTGCCAGCCTAGATGAATGCCAGCGATAGCTCTGATTAATCGGAGCAGGGCAGCGGAGGCCTTGACAAATGCTGCAGACGACAGCCGGGGGATTAGATGGTACAATCTGCCTCACACCTGACAGACGTGTTGCTTCGATCCCCGCTCCTCACATCCATGCTCGCCAGCTTCCAGCAAACGTCCCTCCGCAAGCCCCACTGGAGCCGAAAGCAGCACGAGAGGCAGTGCTGTGAGTGGGAGAATCCACGGCGTGCCCCACGAGGAGGAAACACCACGAGTTTGGGAAAGAGGTAAGGAAAGCAGAGATTACTTCTCATGTATCAAATGCCAACTGGGAGACATTCAAATTCCTGCTTCCAGCTGCTTCTGAAGCCAGAAATAAGACCCCATGCTATCCTGATCAAGCAGCACAACTGCCGCCTGCCCACACGAGCCTGGGGACGGGGAACACGCACGTGCCCTGGGTGCAGCTGCTGCCACGAGGAGCAGCAGGAAGCTACAGAGGAACACTGGTCGGTGCCAGCCTTGGGAACTGCCTTTGTCCCCAGCAGTGCCCAGGGGAAGCAAAGGTACACCCAGGTTCCCCACACCTCGCCGGGTCGCCGGTTTGCACGCGCTATAAATCAGGCTGTTCGTTCTCATCACTCAGAAGTCTCATGCAAATGGCTCCTAACACGTTTGAAAAATTACCCCATCCACCTGCATCCCTCCCGCAGGTACAGAGGCAGATGAGCTGAACTGATCTGTTCACTGGACGACCCTTTGGATCTGCTAAAATCAACCCACACAATCAATCACTGCTATCAACTTCGGTCCAAAAC